TTATCTCTGCTATATAAAAATGCGCTGTTTCCTTCCCAGCTATTTTTACTACTGAAATTCCCTACTATTTTCACTGAAAAATATCATTAGATATCTTTAAACTATCTGAACTAGACGAATAGTCATCTTCATCAGACGTTTCTGCTCCCACTTCAGCTTTCTTTTTAACACTCAACACGTTCCGAATAGTTTCTTTTCTTTTCGTCGTCTTTCATTAAAAATTTGTTCAATTTCGTCCTTCTCCGAAGTGTCGGTCAATTTTAGTTTTCTTATAATTGTTGACTTTTAAGACACGTTGTGATTTTGGGTATGGTCGCATTTCTTCAGGGGATGAAAATATTGAAGCGTCTTTACTTGCGGAAATAATTAATTGTTCTGCTGATGCGTTGAGGTCTCTTACAGGAGAAAACTCTGCACCTGCAACACTAGGATCCTCTCTATCGGTTACTGAAAACGAAAGATATTCATTATCTCCAAAAATGTATTAATTTGGGGGCCAAATTCCCGACACCCTAAATCCAGGTAGGATATTTTTGGCGTTAATGCAGCTGTATATGATTTTCCTGCCAATTCAGCGACATTCTATATAGTTATTGTTTACCCTAGGTGGTTTAAAAGCCATTCATCACAAGCAGTATTATAGTATTGTTTGTAAGGTCTAAAAACGGTGCGATCCAAAGGTTGGAGTTTGTGAATTGTATGGAGTGGCAATGTTAGCAAAATTATCGCATTATTTTTGGCTAATGATACTGCTTCAATAGAACAATGGGTTTCGTGGTTGTCCAATACTAATAGCTTTTGGTTCTCAGTGCTTGGTTTTTTCTTATCAATAAAATGTTGCAACCACAAAACAAATTTATCAGAATTTGATCATCCAGTTATATGAGCGGATCCGATTGAATCTACTGCTGCACAACTCATTACGTACGGTTTGAAGTTAACCCTAGGAAATATAAACATGGGCGGTACACTCTTTCCCAAAGTGTTAATGCAGGCTATCATTGTTACGTTTGAGCACCTTTCGCCAAATTTGAAAACGTCCGCTGCATTAAATTTGTATTTCATAATAACCTTCTTCAAATTTGAATAAAAAAATTCCAACATTATGTCTGTTGAAACTAGTAGCCTAAGAAAGGCTAGTTGCCTCGGGTTCACTAAGACTAAGTTTTCATAAACTCACGGATCCACTGCTTTACTCAGGAATATTTTTGTTATTTGATTTGGCAAAAGCATACGCTAAACATCTAAGCTGATTTCTATGAAGACCGTAATGTATTTTTGATGAAACAATAAAATATTTTACGAGACTTGCTTCCTCTGTCGGAGCAAAGACTGCTTTTACCGCACAATTTTTTTAGGGCTTGTAGTCTTAAAGTTCGTTTTCATCGACTCACTTCAACTCATCGTTGAAGGGTTGCCCTCGAAACATCAAAATTGGCGTTGGCTTTACGCTGACTTATTCCATTTTTAACGGCAGCTACAGCTACTGTAATTTGCTGTTTAGTGGGTCCTATTTTTTCACTTTATTTTTAGTTCTAGGCATCTGTAAATTAAAAAAATAATTGTTGTATCTATTTGCTCAAGATTGTATTCGGTTATTTTTTATATTTTCAACTACTACATAAAAATAGGAACAAAAATATAGAGTCTTTCAATTAAAAAATACAACTAGCAAATTAAGTTAGAGCTTGGGCCATGCTCAAGGTACGTGCCCCAACCTGGCTTAAGGTACATGACCATGAATAGCTAGCCCATGAAGAGTAAACAAAATCACATAACCCCAAAATAATGGATAAAATTAACAAAAAGTGCATCAGATTTATTAGGTATAAGTATAGTAGTTACAAGGCGGCTCAAGGTACATGGCCCTCTCCTATTATGCACCAGAGTACATAATAAAAGAAATTAAAGACTCAAAAGGAAGCGATTCTGTTCTGTAACAATATAAGATATTACATGCACATAAACTGCCTCACTACTAACTATAACATAAAACAAGAGAAAATGTCACAATGTTTTAGTAGTAAAGAAATATCTTAAGCAGAAGGTTATGATTTATATATGAGCATATGTCATAAATTTTTAAAAGTATGATAACTTACTTGAAGTATGCTATTATTTATTTTAATTTTATGTTAAGATTATTTATAACTAGACTTCGGCAAATATGCATATTGCATATTTTGCATATTGTGCATATTTTATGCAAATATTTCATATTTTGGCATATTTGTATAAAAGTTTGCATAAAGTGCATAAAAGTTCAGATTTTTATACTGTATTTGAAAATTTTTAAACATACCAATTTATTTCAATTCTTGTATAAAATTTTGCAGTATTTTAATCAAGAAATGATCTAAGTACCTAATCTCTACAGGTACAAAACATTTACAATTTCAAAGAAGATCAATTTAAGTAGCCCTCAACATTCTTAGAAAGTCTCGGTCACTGAGGCATTCAGTTATTGGATAATCGCTAAGGGTTCGCTCATTTGCATTTTATGATCTAATCACCAAATCTATCTACAATTTATTGTATCTTAACAGCAGGTAAACGGCTAATAGTTTTGTTCCTAATTTAGGGATTTTCCAAAATCTCCCAGTTTATTGAATTAGGTACCTAAACATTTCTAATTTGATGCTCAGATTTGTAAATCATTTTTGTTTTAATATTCAAAGCGTAAACACTCGTTGTGCGTAACAAAAAGGAAGATTGTGATTTTATAATGCCTAAAACAACCAGTGCTTCAACTTGGATTAAACCTTATAAAGAGCTGTCTATGGATATGGGAAAAATCTACTGTTCAGTCTGTGGCAAAATTGTAAGTATCTAATATTTTCTATTAAATATCTAATATTTCATACATACAGGGTGTTTCCAAATGACACTTACAACGTTTGACTGTAGATACTTCTCGAAAAATTGAACAAAACGATATAGTTAATGAGGGGTCAAACTTATTTACTTTTCGAGATAAAGGGTGTTAAAATTAAATTCTTTTAGTTAATAACAACAATAACTTTAAAACCACTCGTAGGTTGTTTTTAAATGAAAAATAGCTTCCTTTAGTGAGAAAAAATTGTCCATGGTACAATACAATGGTGTGTATTTAGAAAAATTTTTTACCTTTACTTTTTTTATGAAGTCAGCTATTCTAAAACACAATTATTTTTATTGTAATTGAATTAACAAAAAAAAATTTTTGTTGAATTTTAAAATAAGTTATATGATGTACTAATGGTTAGTAACAAAAACTAATTTGTGGATTAATACTGCATTTAAAACACTTAGCGAGTGTTTTTTTTTCCAAACCAGTTATTTGATTAACCAAAAATACCTTGTATATTTTTATATTTTAAAGGTTGGGTTAAAATAAAGGTTTTTATTTTTATTTATAGATAGCATGTGAGAAGAAATTTCATATAGACCAACATGTGAGAACTGCTTCACACATTGCAAAAAAAGGAAAAATAGGAGGAAAACATCAAACTTCAATGGCTAAATGTTTCCAATCTACTTCAAAAAAATTAGATGAGCAAGAAACTTTTAATGAAGACTTGTGTCGCGCATTAGTGTCTGCAAACATACCGCTTTCAAAATTAGCAAATGTAAATTTTAGTTCGTTTCTAAAAAAATATTGCAAACTTAATGCTCCAAGTGATCGGTCTCTAAGAAGAAATAATGTGAACGGGCTATACTCGTCGGTGTTAATTAATATTAAGGAAGAAATTGCAGATAATTATTTTTACATATCTGTAGACGAAACCACTGATTCCTCAGGAAAGTATATTGCTCATTTATTGATTGGTGTTCTTAAAGAAGATATCTTACCAAAATCTCATCTTATTTCATGCCAGCAACTTGAGAAAACAAATGCTTTAACAATTTTGCGTTTTATACAAGAAACATTCCTTCTAATAAATTACTGCTTATTTTATCAGATGCTGCTCCTTATATGGTGAAAGCAGGACAAAATTTAAAAATATTTTTCCCAGATTTAATACATGTTACTTGTGTAGAGCATGGATTAAACAGAGTTGCAGAGGAAATACGAAAAAAGTTTCCTCTTGTAAATACCATGATATCCAGTGTCAAAAAAGTATTTCTTAAATCTCTTATAAGAATTCAACTTTATAAAGAAATGCTACCTAACATTCCTCTTCCACCACAACCTATTTTAACGCGATGGGGAACATGGTTAGAAGCAGCTAATTTTTATGCAGATCATTTTGTTAAAATAAAGAACATAATTGATACGTTAACAGATGAAAGTTCCCAATCTCTTTTGGATTCTAAACAAACTTTTCAGAGTAACTTGCTTCAACAAGAACTTTCATTTATAAAATCAAATTTTAGTTTTGTTAAAAAACAATTACTCAGTTAGAATCACCAAAACTGTCATTGTTCGAAAGTACAGCATTAATAAAAGAATTTGCGTCATGTTGTCGGAACGTTAGAGGTAATATTGGAAAAGATATTTTAAAAAAATTTGAAGCTACTATGGAAAAAAATAAAGGTTACCATATTCTTTCTGAAGTAGTCAGTGTTCTAGCTGGAAATATTTCGGAAACAATTAATTTAAAACCAAATGTTTTGGTTAGTTTGAAAAATGCTCCCGTTACATCAGTTGATGTTGAACGAAGTTTTTCCATATATAAATATATGTACTCAGACAGAAGCCACAAGTTTTTGTAAGAAAATTTTGAACACCACTTGGTCATTTATTGTTACCATAATTCTAAATAAGTTTATTCATACTTAAAAATGATGTAGTTACTTAAAATAAATGTAAATCTTAATAAATAGTACGAAATATTTAGTTATGTACACTTTTTTTTTAAATAAAATTGTTACTATTTTACGATTTTTTTATTTATTTGTATGCATATTTTGTAAAATATTTGCATATTTTCGGGTAAACACGTGCATATTTATGCGCATATTTTCTACATTTTTATTTGCATATTTGCCGAAGTCTATTTATAACTATAGGTACTTACGCTAACCCATCGTCGATCATTTTACATATTTTAGGATCTTTGGCTAATTCCATAAAATCTGGATTCTCAGGATTTCTTTTAATATCCACTAACTGCCATGGGGCAATATTGCCGAACCTTACACAATCTAACAAATCATACTTATATCGATCTCTGCTTGCCCAGTCATGCTTCAACCATCTCACTGCTGACATAAATACTTCCATTTCGCAGTTTACGCAAATGTAGTTCGATTTTAGAAAATTCTTTACGTCTTCCACTTCAAGTTCTAACCAGTTTTGAGAACTGACAAGCATAAGAAAGAATCCTTGTATCCGAGGTAACATCAACTCCCTGACCTCAGTCAAACTTTTTTCTTTGGCATCCATATATAAAAGAAAAGCTGTATCTTCATAGAAAACTTCGTTGTGGTCAATAAAGGCCCAGCACTGCTCTACCAAGTCTAAAAATAACTGAAAATATACACAATTCTTAGTTATCATTATTTTTAATATTACCTTTGATTTTGAGATATTTAGCGCTGTTAAAAATGTCTAGTACATTATCCCTTGTAAGATCTCGATAAGAAGGTTCTCCAGTAATCATCCATTCGTAGATAAATGCAAAGGAAGTGGCGTTACATTTGTCCTATAAAAAGATTTGTCTGTCTCAATATTTTTAATAATGCATAAAAAAGATCTAACATTTATCTTAGCATTAACAGTACAATTATTGTCTTTTGACCAAATACCAAATTGTCAATTTTTAACAACACTTAATGAATATTTAAGGATCCAAACAAAAAAAATTCGTTTCAAACGAATTACAGCAATTTTTTACGTTAGAAAATGAAAATAACGGACCATTAACATAAAAATCCTCAATAGCGTCATAGGTATGTGATGAGTGATTTACCACCCGGCTTTTTAACGTAAGAGATAGAAAACACAGTTACCTTGTGAAATAAAAAGAGATGAAACTCGTAGAGGTGGGAAATAATCGATAGAAACCTATAATTTACATTACATTACATTACCACCGTTGATAGTCTCAGACCTTTAGACGTTATTATAGTATTAGAAGTGTTTAAAGTCGCTTTAAAACCCGGCAAAATAGTGGAAAGGATAGAAGACGGATTTTGTGAGAAAGAATGAGATAAAGCTAGTTCTTAGACGTGGCTATTTGACTACAATCATAATTATACGGATGACCGCGAAAATATTTTGTTTTAATAATTTGTGATGTAAGAATAAATGATTGAATAAATTAAGAATTAAAGTAAAAAAACATTAATTAGTAAAATTAGAAAATTAAACAACTTGAAATAGTTGACTAAACTAAAGGTAAGTAAGTTCTGTCCGAAAACAGTTATTGTATGTGGAGTTGGTGTAAGACACGTGATCTATCGACAAGAAGATTGGGGTTCAATTCACACCAAGGATAAAATTTTTGTTTTACTCAATCAGAACATAATAGAAAATATGATACATATTAGGTAACAAGTTTTCGAAAAACTTATTATTTACAATTTATTCTTATCCCAATGTTATTAAACGGAAATACAAAATAATTCAAATTAAAAAAGATATTTATGTTTAACTTTAAACACTTCTAATACTAGTAACGACTGACATAAATGTTTAGTGATTCAAATCAAAACGATCTCTGCATAACTTCAAATTATTAAAAAAAAAGAAAACCACATGTGGGTTTTGAACTCTAATCGTCTGCGTCGCAGTGTCGAATTCTTACCACTAATCCACGATGGACTGATGTTTATTTCCGTGACAAGAGTGTATGAAATGCCTCAAATCATAGTAGAAATTATTCTTGGTTAATAATTTAAAACTTTAGATTAAATAATCACTATTAATTAATTTATTTTATTCACATTTTTGCTTTATTGTCGTCAATCATTTTTTACTTTATGCGAAATTAAAAAATGTCACTGAAATACGTCACACATAATAATTATGACCGAGGTGATTTAGCTCGAAGCTAACGTCTAAAGGTGTGAGACTATCGATAGTGTTAATGCAATGTAATGTAAATTATAGGTTTCTATCGATTATTTCCGACCTCTACGAGGTTCGTCTCTTTTTATTTCATAAGGTAACTGTGTTTTCTATCTCTTACGTTAAAAAGCCGGGTGGTAAAGCACTCACGGAAAGTAATAGATCAAAGAGTAAATTTAAATTATCTAAGAATAGAAAGAGAAGGAAATATTCAGAGTAAGAAAGGAGTAGGTCGCAAAGAAATCTCGTGGCTACGGAATATAAAGAACTGGACATACATAAATAACACTGGTTATGCATGCCGCAAAAGACAGACGTCTGGCCTCGCCAACGCATCATAGGCACTAAGTATAAGAAGAGGGACACTGCTCAAGTAACACAGAAAATTAAGTCAAACGTCTTGCTACAAAACTAAACAAAATATGAAGTAATAAACATATTGTGAGGTATAAATTGCTCTTTGTGAAGATAAATAAACCATTATGAGGCACACTGAAACAAGGAGTGACAGAAGTAGAACAAAACGAATAATGGAAATCACAGAGATAAAATATACAAACTTTACGTGATGGAAAAGAAGTAAAAATATTCTTCTTGAGCATTCAGAGAAATTGTTTTACAGGAAATAATTCTACTAAAAGTGCCAATAAATAGTAGCCAAGGCAAGAGGAAATTAATGCGTTTTGAAGAAAATAAACTTGCAAAGCCAGCCTTTCTTACATTCCAGAGATGTTTTCCAAAACTAGGGGTTTTTTATTTGCCATTCAGAATTAAGAAATAACCAAACACTATGTGCCGTCTTCCTACTCTATATTTTTTCCTACGTAAGAATGTAGCGGCGTCATGTTATTTGTTTAACTATTATTGTCTAATTATTTCTCTCCTGTGCGTGAACGTTGGAACCATGCTTATATTATTTTTATATAGATAATTGTCTTGGTCTAAGAGTTACATTTGGTCCACTGGTGAACTAAATTTTGGGTGATCCAGCATCCAAGGCATTTAAATCGTTGTACTCTTTTTCGTAATCTGTTTATAAAATATGTTTATTGACAGTTTATTAATTAGTTTGGACAGGTCGTCTATGTTTTAAGCTAGTATCATAGTATCGTCGGCATATCGTATATTGCTAATCATTTCTCCTCCTACGATAATTCCTTTTTGATCCTTTAAACCTTCCTGAATATGTTATCAGAATACACATTATGGAAAGAGAACAGGATGGGAAAGAGTGTACAACCCTGTCTTATGCCTCGTTCAATACTGATTGACTCCGATTCTCTGATAAAAACAACACAACACACATACAGTAAACAACATTATGCGTAAAGTAAAGTTTTTAAGAAATGGTAAGGTTCAACAGAAAAACTGAAACAAATTATGAATAAATTGGGCACGGTAATTATAAAATGTGGTTTGAAAATAAATATTCAAAAAATCAATAATGGTTCCATTAAAGTTTGGCAATGTGTTTTTGTCATCGAATTGGATACTCTGCAAAGTGTAAAAACCTCCAGGAACAAAATTTGTGTTTCACCCTCCAAAAAACTTCCAATCTGCCAGTCCGAACTTACTAGTTACCATCACTGCATAAGGATATGCAGAAATAGACAATTGTGGGTGGACCATCGAAGAATGGGCAGAAGTTCCTATCTCTGATTCACGATCCAAAACTGCCAAAATCGTTCTACAGCAGAATATAGTGGAGGGCGTACAATCCCGACTTGAGTTTACAATTCGGACAGATACGCTGTCTAAAACTGGGAAACTAGTTTGAAAATTCTTTCAAAGGCACATTCCTAGGGGCAATAAGCAACGATACGTCCGGGCCCTAATGACGATGGACGCAATCTACTGAGTAAATATCAGAGACTGTTCAGGACCGATCATTTTAGTAAGTATACCATGCAGAGAAGAACTTACGAAAACCATGAGTGAAGCGAAGCATCGAAAATTGCTGGATACGTTGGAGAACGTATATGACATGTAGCATTACGATCGCGTGGAATCTCTTCAAGAACCTAACCTGCAATAATAATGCTGTCTCAACTTCTAGTCAAGTCACACCAAACCAAATCTCCTACCAATTATTAGTCAATAAAAAATTAATTAAATTAACTAATTAACTGAAAATTAACTGAGTTTGATTATAATCTGAAAGTTACTTGAAACTTTGTATTTTGACGTTCTGTGCTAAGGTGTCATTAAAACATTTTGTATGGCAAAAAATACCTTTATTCAGGACAGCCATTTTTCACAAACATTTTGAATTTTGAAGAGTTTATACACTGTTCAAACTTGGGAGAGGATTTATAGATGTTATACTTACTGATGGTAACTCTACTTTCTTAACTGCAATATAGGCATCAAATAACTCTGAATAACACTGAAGTACTATTAAATGGCAATTAAACTCCTCGTTATCAATGTATACTTTACAGTCCGCATTTCTGAAAAATAGAAAGTTGTAGAAAATTTCAAGGCAGTATATTACACTGTTTTAAACCTACGTGTAGTTGGTTATTCGTGAGTATAATTCGAGATATAAATTTTTCTTTTCGGGTAAAGCGACCTTTTGCCAACATATGTCATCCGTTCCGCTATAACCTAACCTAAAAATTCAACATTCGTCAGTGTTAATCATTACATCACGCAGCTACTACATTTATAAAATAATCGGTTAATTATTAAATATAACAAGTAAGCAAAAAATATTTCTTCCTGCCATTTTTTGTTTGTTATTACGAACAGAGATGTTAAATCAACAACTTACCTTCCAAGATTTAATTCAGGATCTAAGATTTCGGAAGTTTGCTTGCTTTCGTATTCAGAAGCTTCTTTATTTCCACTTCTAATTGGAGTATGGCCTATTAATGTACCTAAACTCGAAAAACCAGCCTGAAAATGTAAGTTCATGTCAAATCAGCGCATATAAAATAAGAAGCAATAAAAAAGATATACATTAGTACAACATATCATTAAATTTTTCTAAAAATCTAATGTAAAATATTAAAGAAAAAGTTAATAATTTATGGAAAAAAATAAATTTATTGGTAGGGTAAAACCAGATTAGATGACCATTTTTTGAGAGAACCTCTTAATTGATAAAATTATAAGTTACATAAATTTATTTTTTTTTATATACTACATTAAGATTTATTTGTGTTGATATAAAAATTACAAATTTTGCAGAAAATTACTTTCTAAAGAATTTTTTTAAGGAGAAATGTCTACCTATTTGGATAGTTGACCATGATAAGTAGGAAAATTAGGAAAATCTCGTTTAGGTAAGCAATTGTATACAATAGAAAAGAACACAGCGAGTGCTGTCGAACTGTTACTCTAAAGAAAGATTCTCGAAATTAAAGAACTTTATACAGAACTGTGCATTAGTCTATTGCATCAATCCGTAACAGAGGAAATATAAAAAAATATGGTGAAGAATTTTAAATTATTACATACAATACGGTACCTTTGAAAAAACTGTTTCAAAAATTGACGAAAGTAGGTCTCAGTAGAGAGTATGTGGATGCTATCGCAAATATATACAAAAATGCAGGAAGTGTCGTTAAAGAAGGAAACTTTATATCTGAATCATTTTCAATAACAAAGGGGTTTAAACAAGGATGTTGTCTATCTCCGACCTTATTTAAAATATTTATTCAATCATCGCTAGAGCAGTGGAGGAGACAAGTATCCCGAATGGGAATAGACATAGGTGGTGGTAAATGTCGTAACCACTTTATTTTTCGCAGATAATCAGGTAGGAAGACATGGACTACATGGTAAGAAAACTAAAGAAAGAATATGGAAACGGGGGTGTCAATATGAATATGTCAAAGACAGAGCATCTTAAAATAGGAGATGATGAAGAAGATCCAGAGTTAGAAATCAAAAAAACATGCAATTAATATAAATATATCGGATTTATAATATCTAAAGGAGGCACTACCAAAAGACATATCGAACAGAATACAGCAGGAAAAAAATCGGTAAACATTCTAAACTCTCTACTATGGTCTAAAGATATTAGACAAGGAACGAAATTGACAATTAATCCAACCTTGGTAGAGCCTATTATTAATTATGGAGCAGAAGTTTGGCAGATCACACAAAAAGATAGAAAAAGAATAGAAGTAGTAGAAATGGATTTTCTAAGGAAGGCGTGTTGTGTAACCAAAAAGTTCATATCAGGAAGAGGATATTAGTAGGAGGATAAATACTGTATATTCCAGTGTAGACAGAATTGAAACGAGATAACTAGTGTGGTATGGTCACGTGAAGCGAATTAATGAAGGTAGAAAGAAGAAGGGGAAGGCCTTCAGTTGCCTAGTATATATATATATATATATATATATTATATATATATATATATATATATAGTAAACTCTTAAATATTGGGGAAATCTGCAATTTCCCCAATATTTAAGAGTTTACGATTTAACTTATCTGCAAAGATTAAATTTCTTATATATATATATATATATATATATATATATATATATATATATATATATATGTATATACAGTGTGGAAACCACTTATGGAATAAAATTGTTTGTGTTCTTATTTTAGAAAATAATAAAAAACGTTGAAATACCTTAACTTTTAAATTTAAATGTACGCTTTTTAGACATAAATTTGAATGTACAGGGTGATCAATGCTAGTCTGGCATAGTGCATAATCTGTATTTTAAATGAAACACCCTATATATTTTCATGTTTTTAAAAGCTCCTTAACAACCTGATTTCAACGAACTATATCATGTAGGTCTATTATGAATAATACAAGGTGAAATTTTGAAATTAGGTATTTTCTTCAAGACAATGAATTCATAGAATACCCGAGGTAATTGATTGGATTACATTAAAATAAATGCTCAACATGTTCTCCACCTTGTTGTTGGCAATACCACAGTCTCCTATAAAACTCGTTCCGAACTTTGTTTAAAGTTTGAGGTGAAATATTCCGTATTTCTGTAGTTATCCTTTCTTTTTGAGGTCTTCAATGATAGTTGATTGTGTTGCATATACTTTGTTCTTGAGATAACTCCACAAAAAAAATCCAAAGGCGTAAGATCTGGTGACCTAGCTGGCCACTCAATAATCCCCTTCATCAAATCCACTTATTGAAGAAGATTTCATGCAAATCATTAAAGCATAATGGGGTGTTGCACTAGTGACAACAGTACAGTAGTGACAACGCAGTGATAAGTGAACAGTGTAGTAGTGTCTGGGGACTCGGAAGACTGAGACCTCGGAAGCCCTGAGGAAGGCATCAGAGAGGATGCCGAAAGCTCGGCAAAATAGAAATCGACGCGGTTCAACCCGGAAGACTGGTGAGTTTGATATTAAGTTTAGTAATAATATTAATCTTAGCTCTAAGTTTCATTGGACTAACCGCGGAAATCTTTCCGAACATATATATATATATATATATATATATATATATATATATATATATATATATATATATATATATATATATATATATAAAAAAACACAGAAGTTAAAACACTTCACAAATGTGTAAAAATTTCATTTTTTTGGTCTGTGTCGTCGCTTCAACTGACAACGTGCAAGTACTCGAGCTTAGGAGACATGTAGTCCCTAAAGTAATAAATTTTAAATACATCCATTGTCATCGACCTACAGTATCAACATTACCTAATGTAAAATGTGACACTTTACCAAATCAAACATGGAAGTCTTATAGACACCATATTTATATAGTTAGCAACAAATACGAGGCACTGAAGATGATCCGTAGTGATCGAAAACGTTCTGCCAGAACTTTAAATGTGACGACACTTTTTTAAAAAGTTTTAACTTGTTTGTTTTATACCTAAATACACATTTGTGAAGTGTTTTAACTTCTGTGTTTTTTTAAACGATGGTATACAGCCAATTACGGGGTTTTTCCCATTAATTTTTATATATATATATTATATATATATATATATATATATATATATATATATATATCTTTTCACACGTTCTAGTACATAGATATACTTTAAGTTATATATTTCAAGTGCAATTTTGCTCTCCTCGGTCTATTTTTGCAATTTGGCACGTAAAAATTGTGCTAGGTGAAAACTGCACGAATATAGAGAGAATTACGAAGAAAGAAAATCAATTATCTAATACAGAAGAAGATAAGGAAGAAATAAATTTAAACGATAATATTATTGTTAATCATCTTTTTTTACTTGGTAAAAAAATTGTTTGTATTTATATTTAAGATATCATATTTTAACTCTTTGATAACTATTTGATACCACACTTTTATAAAAGCTTAGATAACAAATTAACAAAAAACTTAAGGAGACGAGATCCACGTTGGGCACCAGATAGTTTGGAGATGATTTAATTCAAATAACATAGTTTGTTTTGACTGATTTCGAAAAAAAAAAAACTCCAAGAGGTCCACATTGGGCTCCAGGTAGCTCTAGGATAATCGGTGTCATAATATTCGTGTCATTGACTACTAAAACCCCTGAATAATGACTTTTGACTGATTTTGAATGAAAATAACTTAAAACGTCAGAAGACGAGCTTCACCCGGGGCACCAGGTAGTTCAATGATCATTGCCGTCATAATATTCGTGTTCAGCGAGCTGAACTCGATTTTAAGAGCCACCAAGTAATGACTTTCGACATATATTTTAAATGAAAATAACATAAAACTCTCGGACACGAGGTTCATCCTGGACACCAGGTAGCTCGAGGGTCATTGTCGTTATCATATTTAAATTAAGCGACATAAATCCACGAGTTATGACTGTCGACTGATTTAGGATGAAATAAACATACCTTATGAGACAAGGACCTCGTTGAAGACAATCGTCGTTATCATATTCGTGTTTAGAAAGCTCTAATATCCCGAGTAACATAATTAAACTCATTCCTGTCGATATTTTCTTAATTGCAAATTTTTCATTGTGTATATACTTTGGAAATGCATTTTTCTTATGCATAAAATGCAATTTTCATTTTAACACAATGAATCTTATTCACATTTTTTTTCTGACACTTTCCGAATCGAATACAAAAAGTTTCACAGCAATTAATCGCACTGCGGAAAATTGATAGATTAAAATGTTGTCAGTTCAGGTAAATGAGCTGGGTATTCGAAGTCTATTCCTCGAGAAATTATTTTATTTTCAAAATGTTCGCGAAGAAAACTATGGAGTATATAAGTGTATGGAGCATATAAGTCTTTAACAAAAGATTTAATAATGTTCTCTCTGTAACGCTCTTGGTTAACAGTAACTGGATGCTTGTTCTCACTTTCAACAAAGTAAGGACCAATAATCCCATGCCCATGCACATCACACCAAATAGTAACTTCTGTACCTACTATGTACTGGTTTGTCTACAATGACATCTGGGCCTTCAAATTCAAAAAATCGAGTTTTTGTCTATTCATATAACCCCAAAAGAAATCAAGATCTTCGTACATTAAACACAACACTCATTTACAGTAAACTTATCTTGCACGTTTGTTTGCAACGTGTAATCTTTGTCTAATTTGAATGCGGTAAGGATAACGACCAAGAGATTCGAACGGTCGACAATCTTTTTAGACGACCTAGATGAACCCTGCTGACACAATACAATACCAATTGGAGGGGGAAGCCCCCAATAATTTTTATTTCCATTCCATTTTAAACACTTGTCGATATTTTTCACTGGTCTCAAAAATTAACCACTATTCCGCCCTTTTCCGTATGAGCGAAAATAATGCTCTACTTTTCTCCTCAGTTGTGAGAACCATTTTCTTGAAGTTTTATTAATAGCGCACTGTTAATATGACAGTTAATAAGAAATAAGCTCAGCAAAATAAACACGTATTAGGTGCAATGTAATACGTGACATAATTGGTTTTTTTAATTACCTGGCTCATAATAGTGTCCATTGCAGAATTTTTTGATAACTCAGGTTCATGGGTCATTCTATTATTATTACCAAAATTTGTTGTTTCGGGATACACATTAACTTTTGTAATCTTTGGGTCAGCTACTAATACACTTAATTTATTTGACGCGAAAACAACCTAAAAATATTGTTGAATTAAAATTAAAAAAAAAATGGTCAAAATTGGCAAAGCTAAAAATAATAAAATTAAGTTTAAGAAAAATGATCCAGTCTGATAAAGTTGTAAACGTGTAAATAACAACCAAAAAAAAATTAAATTGTAACTTTAAACATAAATATACATACTCTTTAATCTACATCACAAAAATAAAACAAAAGATCGAGCAGGAGATTATACTATAGAAGTAATAAAGGAAAAAAAATAAAAATAAAATGAAAACCAATCGAAATATCACGAACTATATAAACTAGTATAGAAGAAAGGAATTAAAAGTTAACAATGAACTTAGTATAATGTTATAAATGTTATGTTTAAAAAATTGTTTATGCTCTGAGCAAAATAAACAAAATGATTACACGGTTACTAAAACAAATCACGCCCCAATACTAATTGAAATTTCAATATCTATTGTAATATTAAAGTAGAAACATTAAATTGATTTGCACTCCAAATCTATTTGTAGGAGGAGTACATATTGAATCCACCTAATCAAATAAACTATCCGATAAATTCGCCACAGAAATCCTCTTAAAACATATTGAAATTAATATTTTAAAGCCTTCTTCTTCTCATGGTAAATCTTCATTAAAGGTTGAAGATGTATCAGCGACGTCTACCTTGTGCAGTTCGAAAAAGTGAATGTGAGTTCAGACTAGACCAAAGTGATATATTATTTAACCACACATCTCTGCTTCCCTCCAATCTTCTCTTCTTCTTCTTATTGTGTCGTTTTATTTCGAAGGTTGGCTATCCAAATGGCATTTGTAGCTTTGATAACTGCTGCAAAAAATATTTCTGCAGATAAGCGCTCAAACATCTCCTTAGGCCTTTCTGCCAACTGGTGTCTTCCAAATGATCTCTTGTCCTGTTCTTTAACTTCCAATATAATTTGGAGTAATTCATATCTTTCACCTCTCAACACATAACCCAAGTATTGTATTTTCCTCTGTTTGATTATGCTTAGTAATTCTTTCTCTTTACTCATGCACTATATATATATATATATATATATATATATATATATATATATATATATATATGTATATACATTTCAAGGGCATCTATTTTTTTTCTGCTTCAGAGTCAATTTACCAACTTTCTCAGCCATACAGCAAAACAAAGAAAACGCAGCATGTTAACTTGGGAAAAGATCACTACAGGAGCAATGCAACCAATTTGTGGCATTAGAGTTAGAAGTCTCTGATAGTTTCCAGGGAACAGCTAATAATAACCACGGAGGTAGCTACAGCTACCTGAGGAAAGAAATCACAAACGTTAAAACGTTTAAAACAAATAGAAATGTTTAATACGAGTAAATAATAAAAATAAAATGTAATGGTATGTCTCGCAAAAGGGGAAACAAAAAACAAAATAGGTATATTGATCGAAGGCAACCGTATATAGGTATTTCTGACTATTGGTCGTCTTCAGTACGGTGCAGCCAAGTTAGAAAAGGAGCACGTTAACTTGGGAAAAGTTCACTACAGGAACAATGCGACCAATTTGTGGCATTACAGTTAGAAGACTTTGATGGTTTCCAGGGAACAACTAATAATAACCACGGAGGAAGCTACAGTTAGCCGAGGAAAAGAATGCCAAACGTCAAAACGTTTAAAACAAATAGAAAAGGTTAATGTGAGTGAATAATAAAAGTAAAATATAATGGCATATCTCGCAAAACAGGAAAATAAAAACAAAATAAGTGTATCGAAGGAAGGCAACCGTATTATTTAGTTTTTTTTTCTTTTACAGTCTTGAAAGTTTCAGATAGTAGTCTTACACGTGCTTTTCCTAATAAAAAGCAAGGTGGTACACCTTTTAAGGATGGAAGAGGAAAAAAAGAGTGATAATAAAACAAGTTAAGAGAAACTTGACAATCTTTTTCATTTTATTTCGAGGTTCCCAAAATATCATATTATTCTAGAAGAAAAATACCAATGTTTGTTATTTGGCTTATACTTTAAAACTTTAAACCTGTCAACTACGTTTTCATTATACAAACAAGAAACAAATGATCTTGCGTCACACTTTGTTTTTTACGTCACAATTTATACAACAATATGTGACAGTTGTGGATGTGACGAATTAGAACAAAAAATAAAAACAGAAACTTCTCCGATGATTTTTTGGCAAGCTTAAAGTTAGAAAAAGAATTGCATCTCTGAAAGGTAGATAGCGCACGTGCTGGGATAACATTGGATTTGGAATTGGGTAAAATAGCTGAAAACGATGTCACTGTCCGATTACCATGCCTAACTTTTTATGATATTTATGCACCAGGAGATTCATCCAGAGTTATTAGGACACAAAAAAAAAACAAAAACCATTCACAGTAGTGGAAATGACCAGCAACGATTTTGTGGGTAGTGTTCCATTAGAGAAAACCACTACTAATCGTAAAAACTGTCAATGGTGAGTCAGTCAACTAGTTAAAAATGCAATAGTTGCAATACTATTTAACTGAACCACAATAATTATATATAAAAAATTTAACAATCAAGACGTAATTTTTAAACATTACAAAGCGCAATACATCTACGTTTATTGGAAAATTTTCACTTTTATACCCAAAAGGCAGTGACATTGCAGCTAAATTTAGAAATTTAAAAGATGTGTTGATGTATATATCACCCTGTTTACATAACTTTCATAAGAACCTGAATGTTAAAATTGAGATCAACGTGTATCAAAATAATGATGATGGAGAAGATAATGTGTTTTACGCTATTGAAGACTCCGAACAAATGATTGGATATATATATATATATATATATATATATATATATATATATATATATATATATATATATATATATATATATATCCGGTTTTTTTAGGCGTTACGCCCGTCCGGTAGGGATCTATGGAGGAGTATCACCGAGCCGCAAGCCCTTATCTCTTGCCGTACTGCTCCACCATAGGCCGATCAGATCCCAGCATATTCTAGTCTAAGCCGCAGATTCATCAAGAATTTTAAACTGCTGCGTTAGACTCTTTGTTTTCTGTACACCGAGCTGGGGCTCGATCCCACATCCACTGAACCATTCGACAGTGAAGCGAATGAGAGGCAGCCGCACAGCCCGCTGAGCTATCTGACCGACATGATGGGATAAATGTTTATAAAAAAAAATTAATTAAAATCAAGACGTAATTTTCAAACATAACAAAGCGCAATACATCTACGTTTATTGGAAAATTTGTTAATGTATATACCACCCTATTTACATAATTTCATAGGAACCTAAATGTGAAAAATTGAGATCAACGTGTATCAAAATAATGATGATGGAGAAGATAATGTGGTTTAAACTATTGAAGACTCCGAACAAATGATGGAATAAATGTTTATAAAAAAAATTAATTAAAATCATTGTTTTCATTCTTGTTAATTTTTTGTATACAAGTATTATAAAAAAATAGTTTATGCAAAAACGCACTTTATTTTTTTTATTTATACAATGTTAGTGCAAAAGTGGCCTAGGGTTTTTTTTTCAAAAAGATTTTAAAAGTTTTACTTTTTCATGATATTAGTTTGAAACAAAACTTACTTACTTGAAACTTAATTTATGGTGTTAAAATTTAAAAGCAGGGTTAAGAATCCTTGGAGAAACAGAAAGCGGTCAAATTAAAAAAAAACTTCAATCGTCTTTTTCTCAAAACCAGTTTTTACCAGTTAGGCAAATTTTGCACTATGCGCCGCATATACAGTGTGGAAACCACTTATGGAATAAAATTGTTTGTGTTCTTATTATAGAAAATAATCAAAAACTCTGGGACACGTTAACTTTTAAATTTAAATGTGCGCTTTTTAAGTTAATTTTAAGTGCGCTTTAAACATAAGTTTTTTAAAACACTTTTAACAACCTGATTTCAATGAACTATATCATGTAGGGTCTATAATGAATAATACAAGGTGAAATTTTGAAATTAATAATTTATCACGTGTTATGATATTATTTTAAATTAGGTAAATACAGACAATAGACTTCTACTCTAAGTGTCAGTACACTGTATATTGGGGAAAATTTCTGTTTAGTAACCGCGTTAACATTTTTTGTCGTTAATAGGTAAAAACTGTATAGATAGTCTGCTAATTAAACTAAATCGGTAAATAATGCGGATTGTTATCAATCAATTAACATGCCATTTTACATTAAAATAATAAATTCTTAATTAAAAACTAATTTCTTGCAGAAATAAAAATGAAATATTTAACTAAGGCCCACCGAATTGAGATTTTAATGATGATCGGTTACGGGGAGAATTGTAGAAGTCAAGTTGAAGTAGTAAACTTATTTAATCAGAGGTTGCCTCACTTGCCTAATATTTCACAAGGTACTGTGTCTAAAATTTATGCACAATTCAGAGAACTTGGATATGCCAAACCATTAAAAAGAAAATCGAACTTCATTGAAGATGAAGTGAAAGTGGATATTTTGTTAAGTGTCGCAGAGAATTCAACGTCAAGTTCACGTCAAATTGCACGTCAAAATAATGTGAGTCACACAACTGTCCTAAGGTGTCTCCATAAAGAAAACTTCATCCATATAAATTGACATGTGTGCAGGAGCTAACAGAAGACGATCCGGATCGTAAAATGGATTTGTGCAAAAGAATGAGGGATAAAATTAACAAACGAAATAGCTCTTGGCACAATTTTTTTTCTGATGAATCAAAATTTACATTGAACGGACAGGTAAACTGACAAAACTGTAGATATTGGTCAGCGGAGAATCCTCATTGGATGCGTGAGACACACACCCAGTATCCTCAAAAGTTGAATGTTTAGTTGAATGTTTGGGCAGGTATTATAGGAGATCATATTATTGATCATATATTTATAGATGATAATTTGACAGCGGAAAAATATTTAAGCATGCTAAGAGACGATGTTCTTCCTTAGTTGACTAACTTATATCCCAATCGAATAGATCCGACCCTACTGCATAAAACTGTCTGGTTCCAGCAGGACGGTGCAACACCCCATTATGCTTTAATGGTGAGAAATTACTTGAATGAAATCTTCTTCAATAAGTGGATTTGATGAAGAGGACTAATGAGCAGCTAGCTAAGTCGCCAGATCTTACGCCTTTGGATTTTTTTGTGGGGTTATCTCAAGAACAAAGTATATGCAACACAATCAACTATCATTTAAGACCTCAAAAAGTAAGGATAACTACAGAAATACGGAATATTTCACATCAAACTTTAAACAAAGTTCGGAACGAGTTTTATAGGAGACTGTGTTATTGCCAACAACAAGGTGGAGAACATGTTGAGCATTTATTTTAATGCAATCCAATCAATTACCTCGGGTATTCTATGAATTCATTGTCTTGAAGAAAATACCTAATTTCAAAATGCCACCTTCTATTATTCATAATAGACCCTACATGATATAGTTCGTTGAAATCAGGTTGTTAAGGAGCTTTTAAAAACATGAAAATATACAGGGTGTTTTATTTAAAATACAGATTATGCACTATGCCAGACTTGCATTGATCACCCTGTACATTCAAATTTATGTCTAAAAAGCGTACATTTAAATTTAAAAGTTAAGGTATCTCAACGTTTTTTATTATTTTCTAAAATAAGGACACAAACAATTTTATTCCATAAGTGGTTTCCACACCGTATAATAGATTTATTTAGTTTATTAAATAAAAAAAATAAGAACACTTACTTGTGAGGAATCGACTTTGAGGTTTCCACTGGGTGTTACTTTAAATGGGAAGCGATCACTGTTTTCTTGACTTTTCGGCGAGCTATATTAAACGCTATTGTTGAAGAAAATTATTTACAGTTAAAAGGAATCATAAAAAGGGTTGCTTTGTAACAAATATATCCAGAATCAAATAAATAATTGTTTATATATTGTGCAAATACTACGAATATGCTTTGGTATGCCATATTTAAATAATTGTTCTCACATTTATTCTTGCGCTATTCTTGCGGTACATATTAATATTACTCGTCAAGACTAGGAATGACTTTCGAAATTTTGCCCAACTGCGCAGAGAGCTGACAAAGTATTCTGAGAGAAAGAGATGGATGAACACCGTGACTCGACTACCTGATTTTAAACATAATTATTAAACATAATGCCAACTTTATTTCTCTTACTAAGAAAATTTTAGGTAATTTTGCCCATTAATCATATCAACGTAATGAGAAGTAGAAACTTAAGCCAAAAAAACAAAAATAACTATATACAAAACCTTTATACAGCCAGTGTTGACATATGGATCGGAGACATGGACCATCTCCAAGGCAGACGAAGACCTTTTGCGTATATTTGAACGAAGGATCCTGAGAGGAATATTTGGTGGCATCTGTGAAAATGGTGTTTGGAGGAGGAGATACAACTACGAGGTATACCACAGATATAAACAAATATTTGGTGGTAAAGACGTAGTATCTCTTATAAGAATAGGAAGATTAAGATGGACAGGACATCTAGCAAGATCACAGCAGAACAACCCTCCTAGAAGAATCCTTATGTCACAACCCGTGGGAAGCAGAAAAAGGGGTAGGCCAAAACTCAGATGGAAGGATGGTGTAGATGAGGATGGTAGAAAGATAGGCGCAGCAAACTGGCAACGGTTGGCAATGGATAGGACTGCCTGGCGTAATAGACTTGGGAAGGTCGAGGCTCTTTCATAGGGCTGTAGCACCATTGATGATGAATCATATCGACACCGTCATTATTGCGGACAGTGCTGAACGACTTTTAAATGTCATAACCAGAGAGGGAGATGGCTTGGGACTATATATAAACACAAATAAAACAAAAGTAATGGCTGTTACACGTGCACCAAATGTCGACATTAATATTAGTATCTATAACAAACATATAGAAATAGTACAAAGATTTCAGTATCTTGGTTGCTGAATAACAAACGATCTTGACCACGAGGTCGAAATACGTGCTCGTATAGAATATGCTAGGTCCGCATTTCAGCGAATGAAAAAATTCCTAATAACCACGTTATCGTTGGATATTCGATACCAATTTGTAAAAACGTTGATTTATTCCATATTGCTATACAGAGTGGAAACATGGACTCTCGGAATTACAAGTATGAGGCGTATAGAAGCCTTTAAGATGTGGGTTTTTCGAAGGATGCTGAAGATCTCTTGGACAGAGCACGTGACCAACAACAAGGTGCTAAGAAGAATGGGTACTGAGATAGAGCTCCTAAATATTGTAAAAAGCAGAAAAACGAGTAATCTAGTACATATTTACAGAGAAGAAAAATACAACTTCCTACGACTTATAATGAAAGAGAAAGTGAAAGGAAGAAGTCCAGGAAGAAAAAAATGCTCCTGGTTGAAGAATGTAAGAGACTGGACAGGTATGGACACACTTTCGATATTAAGAACAGCTCAAGATAGAAAGCAATTTGCTCTCTATCTTGAGCTGATTTGTAGTTATAGCCAACCTTCAGTAATGGAGAAGGCACCTTAAGAAGAAGAATTATATCGATGGTTGATAAATCCTATAATGGATTGTAGGATTTTTATTCACAGTTTTGACAAAATATTGTATATGGAGCAGAATGGTGTATAAGTTATTTGATTGTAATTCAATGTTTTAATTTATAATTTGAAACCGGAAACGGTTTATTGATTAATCGCCTATTATACCTGCTTTACATTATAACAGCTATGTTAAAGCACATTGTGAAAACCGGTTATGCTATAACAATACAAAAAGTTAGAAGAAAGTTAAAAGAAATAAGGCAAAATAAAAAACAATAGGTCACTGATCAGGTAATAGAGATATTCATTTAAATTTTTAATGGCGCAACAAAAAAGGGTCATCCATAACTTAAAGAGGCGACCCTTCAATAGACGGACTGTTTAGAGCTTTCTTAGAGCCGTCTGGGCAATCACCCTTTGCGATCTGTCTGCAGTTTTAATATACAATTGTCATTTGCAATACACGGACCAAACAAGCACTTAGTTTGCGGTTGCAGCCAAAAATGCAGTTTGCGTGCGGTCAAACTTTGCCGTGCTGCCGGCAGTAAAGAGCTGCTCGACACGTCCAACTGCTGCTCCAACTGCTCACAGCATAGACACAAATGCTTTTATTCCTTATCACAACATAAGGAACAAATCTTATGCTGTGGCTGCGTCCTCCCTCTTTCTCTCGCGCATTCCGATTCGTTGTGTCACACTACAGAATACTACCTGCTTTCAAGAAAAATGCAAAATATAGCTGATTTGGACGATGACGATTATTAAAATGAAATTTAATCACAGGAATGTATATGTAATTATTGATGTGAAACATACAGCGATAGACTTGTTTGCTGTATGTGAGAAGTTTGTAACGAATTTTGATTTTAGATTACGTAACAACAAAATTAGAAGTAGGCTCTCTTCCTCCGAATCCATGTTACAGATTGAATATTGATATTGATTGAACAGTAGTGGTCGTGTTGCAGTCGCACACGAGTTCAATCGGACAGCTGGGAGCAGTCGTGTTGCAATCGAGTCCAACCGCAACATGTCCGCCCCGGCTCTTATGCAGTTTGGTCTCAACTGCTCTAAGCAGCCTGTCTATGTAGGCCCTAAACGAGGCATAATTTCGTTCGACCGAACGAAGAAATCCAACGGTCTATTTAACTTATATTTTTATAGGCAATATGATTGTTTGATTGTTAATTGGTATTTCTGAACCTTAATAAGAAACTCCTGAGATTATTAAAATTATTCATTAGTATCCTTCCTTAATATCAATTTTATGTAAAGATTATTAATTTATTTAACTTTTTATATATCATTTTAATATAGGTTACTTACTTGAATTTTGGCATTCTATTCTCAGATATAACGTCAATTATTTGTGTCCGGGTCTTCTTTTTGCTGGGAAAAAGAAAATCCTTATCTGTTATAGGTTCCGTTGATACGTAATCAGGCAACTGTTGTTTTGAATATAAAAGCACCAAATTTTCGGAAGGAATTGTAGATGAGGCAGAATGGATATTAGCATAACCTAAAAATAATAATTCATATACCGGAATAAATCAGATACATAGAAGAATATGTCAAGTTGCTATGTGACGTTATTTATTCTACGTTATTTATTTAAGTCTTTATTCTAGATAACCAAATAGTAGGTGCTTTTCTGTAAATAAAGATTGACACTTAAGACTCGAGCCATTTTAAAAACTATTTTAAGTTAACCTTTAAATGAAAATACTGCGACGAATATCAGGGAGAAGTCTGTTGGATAGGGAGAGAAGCGAAAAATAAGAAGAGCATGCAATATAGAAAACATAAATGGATGGGTTACAAAACGAAAACAGGAGTGAAACGAACATATCGGTAGAATGGCAGATGATAGAATAGTACGAATAGCACGAGATAAGTCACCAAATGGACAAAGAAGTATTGGCAGACCAAGAAAAAGATGGTGCGACAATTTAAATAATTTAGGAGGATAATATTGAAAAAGAAACAGACTTTCAAACCTACATACTAGAAGGAAGACGAAGAAGTTAACCTAGAATTATTTTATGAATATATCTCAGCTTTATTCATACAATATTGGATACAAGCCTTCCATAATTTCTTCCGTTCTTCTCTGTTTAATTATGTACTTCTCCGTACTAATTATACTTATCAGCATCGGACCTGTAAATTTTTTAAGCTCATTCACCCATATCACTTGGGATCTTCTTTGTCCCAGGCTAAGAACTATTCTCCCAAGGCCTTAATTGTACGGTTAGATTATTCAAACTTTCATCTTTATATCTAATGTGGTATCCTGCAAATTCTCCCGCAATGTTCTCCCAAGGTCTTAACTGTACGGTTCGATTATTCCAACTTTCATCTTTAAATCCTTAAACATCAGGATTGCTAGTAAAAGGATTTTTAACGCTTCTTTTTCTAACGACTGATCTTTCGATCTTTCTTTCTAAAGATTTTAAAATTCCGGTGGGTAATTATTTTGTCCTATATTATTTGTTGGAATAATATTGTGCGACAAATTATTTAATTACTTTACTAGCGGACCAACTCGACATCGAGTTTTTTAAATGAAATTTTTATTTTGCGAGAAAAATTAAGAGATCAATACAAACAATATAAGCAAGAATATACATAACATTAATCAATAAAAATGCAAATAAAAAGTGTAGTAAATATCACGAAATATTTCGTCGAAAACAATGGTTTTTGTTACAATGTCTCCATTTTCTGAAAACTCTTGCTTGGCACCGGGAGTTATGTAAACTTTTACTTTTTACTTTTTAATAAAAACGAAACCAGAAGTCGACCTCAAAACCGGAATGCAATTTTTAGTTCATCAAATGTCGACATGGATATCATTTAGCAGTTAATTTTGCATGCTGATCACGAATCCGGTGTCAGATTTGCTTATCTTGAAGTTTTATGCGCGTTTCGGGTCACTTCCGGTGTCGGATCGCAACCGGAAGTACATATTTAGATTCGTCTCGACGAGACCTTTCGATCCATATATACATTGTGGGGTCTAAAACTTAAAGTCAATTTTAACTTCCGGTCATCTCAAAACCGGAAGTGAATTTTTGTACCAAAAGTATATCTTGAGAATCTCATACGTAATACTAATAATATTCCGAAAAAATATTTTAATTTTCTAATATGGTTTTTGAGTATAGTGGTGGACAAGAAAAGGGCTTAGCGTTTTAGTATATAAGATTTTATACTTAACTCACTTTTTTTCAAACCGGGCACTTTTAATTGTTCGGTACTGTATGATTACAAAAATTCTATCAAAATCAATAAATGCTACAATAGGAGTAATACTTGTTGGCTTCTTAAATACTAATTTTTATTTTTGGGTAAATGGTCAGTTGTATAAACTAAATAAGCCTGAAACAGACTCATTTAGTTGTTCGTTAGCCTACTCGTTAGTATTTTTGTAAGTAACTTGTAGATAACGTTAATAGGAGTAGACAATAACTGTCCACTTATAGTTTTTATGTTTGCCTTAATAGAGTATAGACCAAAATAAACAGTACTAAACTTGTAATTATTTTATTGTTTTAAAAAATAAATATTATTGACACTTTATAACATCTTTTAAATAAGCTCCTTCTCTCGTAAGACAGACTTCACACCGATATTCCAGATTTCTTGTAATATTATGGAATAAAGGTTGTCTCAAGTCCGCGAAGAAAGCTCTAGCGGTATCCTTTAACTTATTGCGAGTTTGTGGTGCCCGTTTAAAAACGACAGTTTTAGCCATATCCCAAATGAATGCGTCAGAGATATTAAGCCTGGAGAATGTGCAGAATAGAAATTAGTAAACGTGAAATGAATTTGATTGGAAAATGCCCCTGAAGAAATTGACGAACTGCGACAGCAGTACGGCAAGTTGCCCCATCCTGTTGGAAAAATTGGTCTCGAAATGCCAAATTAGGTGCACGACAAAAACATAGATCAGGGATAAAGCGTGTTAAAGTTTGTATGTACCTTTGTTGGTTAAGTGTAACTTGCCTAGCATTTTCTCCGATAAAGTATGGACCAACGATTCCGTGTCCCGAAACTGCACACCAGACACTCACTTTTGCCCTATGTAAAGGAACTTCTTGAACTTTATCTGGTCACAATTTAATTTTTTGTCTATAAGTTGTTTCCCTTATACTTTAAATAAATAATATTTAAGTATATCATTATTTTATATCACGAATATCTTTATTTTCCCGTTTTTTTTAATTAAAATTGATAAATAATTTACGAAGGTATTTGCAAAAAGCAGTTTTTTTACACTAATTTATAAATTTTAATAATTTTTTTATTAACAAAATAAAATGTTATTAATACCTTTAAACATGGAGGAATTACCGTCTTTTAAATTTGTGCGAAATTTCCCTCCGATGCGATCGGTCAAATAGTTTTAAAGTTATTTAATTTGTTTATCCCTAAGGCTAATTATTTAAACTATTGAACTTGCACTATGCATGATGCTAGACATATTTAGCAAATTTCATAGGATTCTTTAAAACTTAAACTATCTCAGAAGTTAAATGCATATTGCGTTTTCATCGAAATTATTTACAAAATATACCTTTGAAAAAGGGTTATGTTTTTTACTTATAAACAATTGTAATAACTTCTATAGTTTTCAAGCTACAGGCTTGTACGTACCACAGATAGCTGGTAAAAAACTCACATTAAAAAATAAAAACCTATGACCAATAGGAACGAAGTTGACGACTATTTTTTAAAAAATCATATATCCATTGTTAATAAAGATTAAGAAATCAAATTTGCCCAAATTTTGAATGAAAATCTAAACTTTATATTGAAACTTATAGCTATAAAATTCATTTAATTTTTCGATACTTACAGCCCTTCGAAACGAAAGTACTTTCGAAACATCGACATACGAAAGTAGAGAGGATAACTGTTTCATCTACGTTTTTTTTTTCGACATCGGAACTTCAAATTGAAACACGGAGGAAAAATTTACATTATCTCGGCTTCCATTGCAGCTGAAAACCTCTTTTTTATTCTGGGGTTGCTCGTCGAAATATGAATTACATAGTTTTCACTGGCCGGAAAATATGGGAAACCTCGGAAAAATTGAGTCGATTTGAAATTCACCGTAAAAACTTACTTTTTTTTATATCAATGATGTAATAATACTTAACTTATAATTGTTTTTATTTTTATAATTAACAATATTGATTTTTATTCTACTTTTCGTACAAATATGATACACCATATTAATCTAATCTGCGTTACTGCTTTGATAAAGTCGATTTTTTCATCACTTGTCTTATTCAATTTTGCAATGTTTATTGAACTTTTTTTTTTATTTTTTTTACATACATAGGTTTAAAAGTTAAAATTTGGTTCATTCATTTGACTTCACTGTCAGCTCTGAACCTTTTTGTTGTAAATTGTTTGTCTTCACTTATTAAGTCAGTCTATAAATAAACATGTTCAGAATGACTGTCGTCGTCACATGTAACTGTACCGAAGTTGCAGCATATTTTCTCCCCTAGTTTTTCTCAGTTCAATTTAAGTACAAGTTTGTACAATTCAAACTACGTTTTCTGCACCCACATCTAGTAGTTTTGAAACCTGTGGTGCATTTACATGTAATGTGCTTCAATGTCTCTTCTTCGGGAATTAAATTATCTAAGTATAAATTGGTTCAAAACCAGTGGCACTTTGTCTCCAACCATAGGCACAAGCATCTAACTTATTTCCTAACCACATTTGTAGTTGTTTGTAAACCCGAAGAACATGCTATTTGGCTGCACCTTCAGTTAGTGGGAGAGTTTCTAGTTTAAAAGATGATTTAGCGATATTTCTGTTGAATTGTATCTTAAATCATTTAAAGAAAGTGTATTGTTGTGTTTTTTTATAATGTATATCAACAAAAAAAACACAACAATAGATTTTCTTTAAATGATGGTTTAAATTGATGATTTAAATTCTTGAAATGGTGTTTTTTTATAATGTATATCAACTACAATGGGTAGTGGGTAGGAACTCCTTGGATAGTCCTATCAGGGAAAAATGAATCATTCCCTGCCCCCCACAGATTCCAGGTGTTTCCTGACCCGGGAAACTAGTATCTGCTTAGGGTCCCTTGTCCAGGGTTACGGATGAAGACCACAACGGCAGTCATGGCGGAGAGGGAGACCTTCGGTACAGCGAGGATGGCGGAAGTGGCGACCCCGGATTTTAGGGACGGAGGGAGACCCATCGGTTACGGGAAGGGAGGGGGGTTCTGCTTTTGGTAAGAGAAGCCCAGTCTTAAATTTCAGCCAACGTCGAAAAGAGAAACAGAGAAAGATGGAAATCAAGTGTAGCACTTGGAACATCCGAGGATAGCGAACTAAGGACAAAGAGGTGATAGAGAAATTTAAGAGGATGAACCTTGATATTTGGGTAACAACTGAGACCAAAACATAAGGAAATGGTATAAAATTTAATAAAAAAAGGAAAGAGCAGCTGCCGGAGTGGGGATACTAGTCAAGAAAAAATGGGTAA